TTGTGTATGTGTGCACATGTGTATGTATTTGTATGTATTTGTATGGGGAGCGGCAGTGTAGCGGTTATCACGCTGCACTAGGAACCCTGTGAACTGAGTTCGATTCCGGAAACCACCAGTGACGATTATCTGAAGCGGTCCCAATATCATCTCAGCCTCAAATGAGTACCTGATGGGTGTGCAAATATCGCCACTGGGGAGACAAAGGCGGTCGGGCGTGATGCTGGCCACCCACCCCATCATGCGTCGTGTCGACCTTCATAGGCGCTCACTAATAGCACGTACGGTGCTAAAGAAGTTCAACATACATACTTGCCCCAACACGGAGTCAGGGTTAGGGGTGGTCGCCTATGGACCGCGTGGCTCTGTTGATCTTTGGGAAAAAATGTAACGCCACGGTTTTGTTGACGACTTGTATGTTTTGTTTAACGATCGCTGCTTCCAACAATTGCATAGCACCCACACACCTGACCGCTGTCTGTGTCTGCTTGCCATGTACATAGAGATTGATGTACTGTGTGTGTATATGCAGTAACATATACTTGAAGTGTGTTGATGTGTGTAATCTAATATATTTGTACGCTGAAAGCGGAGACGTGTGTGCATGTGTGCTTATGTGTGGATGAGTGTGTCCGTGTGTGTGGCTGTATGCAATTATGTGTGTGCGTGTGTCTTGTAGATGTGCGTGAATGTACACGTGGAGTTGCGTTTGTGTGTACGTGTAACACATTTCATACAAAAACAAATGTCACAGGATGTTAGTGAGAGTGTTACTCGTGAGCCCCTGTGAAGGTCGGCACGAGGCACGAGGGGGTGGCGTGGCAATAACCACGCCCCAGCGCCTTTGTCTTTCCCCATTGCCGATGTGTGTTACTCGGGTCTCTGGCTTCACAGGGCAGTCCGTTCGTCACTCCACTACCGCGCCCCACATGCCCACACACACACACATACACACACACATACACACACCCATACACACACACATAACCCATTACACACAAAGTGCTTGCCACAAATGACCCCCAATCACTTGCTGATCTCGTCAAAGAACATAAACCATCACGCGAACTCCGGAAAATCATCACAGCGGCTTTTGGCGAGTCATCGAACAAAGACGGCCACCGCATTGCGCGCTTTCAAATGCGCTTCTGCGGCTGTCTGGAATGCTCCTCTCTCCGATATTAGGAAGCCACTGGAGCTATGCACTTTTAAATCATCATCTAGATTGAAAACTCATGTCTTTAGAACTGCTTTTTGTGTTTAGTTTGTTGTCCTTCCCCCGCACCTCCGATTAGCACGGTTGGCTACGTACGGTGCGAAAGAAGTTCAACATATATACATCAACACGGTATAGACACATAACCAGACAGATGTGTGCCTATAGCAGTAACTAATTCGCACATACATGACTCGCCATTCCCTAGCTATATTATTTCTCTCGACGTGAGCTTATTCATCGAATAACATCGCACACTGATTCTCGATGTAGCATCCCATAAAATCTTGAATAATCATAACATTCGCCTCCTTGTCATATACAGTTATGTTTCACGTGGAGGAACAGATGCGCGGAAGAAAATGTCTGATGTTTACTTTGTATAATATTCTCCAAAACGACGCGAATTATTATTCTGTGCTTGATGAATATAAAACGGATCTCGGATAGACGCATGTACCGATAGATAGACAGATAGACGCACGGATATTCATATATACGCAGATAAACAGGCAAGTAAATTAATATATCGATAGACAGATGCAAATATAATTAAGACGTGGATTTTAATACATTTTCCGGGAAAAAAACTGTTGTTAGTCTGTTGACAGAATCACATGTGAAATGTGACACATGTTATAATTTAAATGTTTCATTTAATAAACGAATGAATAAATATGGAGGAATGATTGCGTCCTATTGCTCAGACCCTACAACCACCTCTACAATTTAACCCGTACACGCGAAATGCACAAATCCACACCGAGCATGCAAATCAAAATTCGTCTTTTTTCATATTCACGAGATGTATAAATAATTGAATGCATAGCTTTTAGTGTCCGATATATATCCCGTGTGCACGCGGGGTGCGTGAACACGGGCTGCACGTGGATGCATATACGTTTCCACGTGTGTGTTTGTGTCTCCACGTATATGTGTCTTCATGCGTGTGTGTGTCTGAACCGGTCTTGGACCTGTCCTAGGTCCACTCAGCCTTAAATGAGTACCTGATGCGGTGTGTAAACATCGTCACTGGGGATACAAAGGCGGCCGGGGATGGTGCTGGCCACCCACCTCCTCGTGTGCCGTGCTGGCCTTTATAAGTAATCGCTAACAGCACTTGCCACAACAATCTGTTAAGGCTATATCTTTGTCTTTTGTGTGTGTCTCCACGTGTGTGTCTCCTCGTGTATGTGTCTTGACTTGTATGTGTGTCTCCACATGTGTGTGTCTCCACATGCATGTATGTCTCCACGTGTATGTGTCTCCACGTGTATGTGTCTCCACGTGTATGTGTCTTCACGTGTATGTATGTCTCCACGTGTATGTGTCTTCACGTGTATGTATGTCTCCATGTGTATGTGTGTCTCCACATGTGTGTGTCTCCACATGCATGTGTGTCTCCACGTGTGTGTGTCTCCACGTGTGTGTGTCTCCACGTGTGTGTGTCTCCACGTGTGTGTGTCTCCACGTATGTATGTCTCCACGTGTGTGTGTCTCCACGTGTATGTGTCTTCACGTGTATGTATGTCTCCACGTGTGTGTGTCTCCACGTGTGTGTGTCTCCACGTGTGTGTGTCTCCACATGTATGTATGTCTCCACATGTATGTATGTCTCCACGTGTATGTGTGTCTCCACGTGTGTGTCTCCTCGTGTATGTGTCTTGACTTGTATGTGTGTCTCCACGTGTGTGTGTCTCCACATGTATGTATGTCTCCACGTGTATGTGTGTCTTCACGTGTATGTGCGTCTTCACGTGTATGTGTGTCTTCACGTGTATGTGTGTCTCCACGTGTGTGTGTCTCCACATGTATGTGTGTCTTCACGTGTATGTGTGTCTTCACGTGTGTGTGTCTCCACGTGTGTGTGTCTCCTCGTGTATGTGTCTTGACTTGTATGTGTGTCTCCACATGTGTGTGTCTCCACATGCATGTATGTCTCCACGTGTATGTGTCTCCACGTGTGTGTGTCTCCACGTGTGTGTGTCTTCACGTGTATGTATGTCTCCACGTGTGTGTGTCTCCACATGTATGTGTGTCTCCACGTGTATGTGTGTCTCCACATGTATGTGTGTCTCCACATGTATGTGTGTCTCCACGTGTATGTGTGTCTCCACGTGTGTGTGTCTCCACATGTATGTATGTCTCCACGTGTATGTGTGTCTCCACGTGTATGTGTGTCTCCACGTGTGTGTGTCTCCACATGTATGTATGTCTCCACGTGTATGTGTGTCTTCACGTGTATGTGTGTCTCCACGTGTGTGTGTCTCCACATGTATGTGTGTCTTCACGTGTATGTGTGTCTTCACGTGTGTGTGTATCTTCACGTGTGTTTCTTCACGTGTGTGTGTTCACGTGTGTGTATTCACGTGTATGTGTCTTGACTTGTGTGTGTGTGTCTCCACATGTATGTGTATCTTCACATGTATGTGTGTCTCCACGTGTGCGTGTATGTGTCTTTACGTGTATGTATCTGTGTGTCATCGTGTGTGTCTGTTTATGCGTGTAACTCCGTGCTGGTGTGTTTGTGTGTCTTTCGGCTGTCGTGTGTGCGCCTGTTTGTGTATGGTGTGTGTTTAATTTGTATCACATGCTACTGTATTATGTGCGTTGATAAATACAATTTCACGAAAGCTGAAATAAGCGTGGAGATTTGTGAATGACAGAGACTGGAATAGTAACGCGTGGAGCAGAGAACAGTTGAAGACCTCACAGTGACTCGTGGGGGACGCGTGGGCTCGGACACGACTCGTCGCGGACAGAATGGGCCATGATGCCCCCCGCAACTACGATTAGCACGGTTAGCTACGTACGGCGCGAAAGAAGTTCAACATACACGTACGTGCATGGCCGATGGGGCGAGACCGGTAACGGAATGGCTGCCAAAGGAGAGAAACGCGCGTGAGAGGACGCTCGCCGCGGAGCGAAGAGCTCAGCTCGTGTGCGGCTGCTTCGTGCATCGTAACGTCGGCAGAGGAGGCGTCGACGCAGCAGTGGATTGATCACGGCTAATGATGATGATGTTGTTCGTTGGTTACGCTTGCCTGTGCACGTACTATAATGGCAGCCACAAGCCGATTTGAACACGGACTACGATGGACGGATTTCCCTTGCCGTGACAATGGCAGTGACACGCGTGACGCCCCGGACGTGCAACACGCACGACTGCCTTCCCTGCACCTTGCTTGGTAAAGGCAAAGGTGCAGCCCTGCAATCGCTCGCTCACGCCACAGCTCGCTGTACATTCTTATTATGTGACATTGGTAAAAGCGACCCGACACGATTCGTGTGTGAATATGACCATGTTAGAATAATAATACATATTTTCTGGTTGTAAATGTTTCCAGCGTAGTAGTAGTAGTAATGTTTATAGCATGGAAGGGTTGGGGGTGAGGAGGGTAACGCCAACGAGGACAGTGGCGACCCTCACCCTGGACATCAGACGAGGGATTACTCGCCGCCGTGGGTTTGGGGTAACCCGGCAGCATTTCCTGAGCAAGCCTGGCTCTGTGACGAGACCCAAAATGTGGAAACTGTTCAAGCGTTCGCTCGTTTAAACAAATTATGCTGGCTAACGTCAGGCCTCAAAGTCCTCCGGGCATAAACAATAAACGTCGTTTTATTATCGCGTAGACGGACAGAAGGCTGGTCGAATTATCGTGCTTAGATTCCTCCAATACCATGTTTACAATGCGCATTTACATTGCATGAAAACTGCTCAGAAGGAGTGGGAATATTCATCCAGACAGAGAGATGGCCACAGGGGGGAAGCGACCTTTCTTACCGGAGGAAGGCCGGTCCGAATAGCGCGTGCAGTACACCCAGGCAGGCCACAGCATGGCCTTTGAGCCGGGCTCCGCCGAGGCGCGGCTCGCCGCCGAGTCGTGGGCCGGGGTGAGGGCTCCTCTGCCTCCCGCGGGCTCCTCCGTGCACGAGTCGCTGTCGCGAGTCCCGCAGGACTCGGCGCCGACGCTGCTGCTGAGCGCCTCTCGACTCTCACGTCGGGTGAGTCCGCCGAGCTGACCCGGCACCCTCTCGCCGCTCCGCACCCTCGCTTCCTGCTCCTCCTGCTGCTGCTCCTGCTGCTGCTGCTGCTCGCGGCGAGCAGAGTTGGAGTTCTCCTTGCGGCGGCCGAACTCGGGCCTGAGGATGTTCTCGATGAAGAAGTTCGTGACCCTGCTGGGCGGGGAGGGCACGGCTGGCGAGGGCTGCTGCGGCTCCGCGTCGCCCCGCGGGGGGCTCCCCCCCGCGGCGCCGTTTGCCATGGGGGGGGGGGCGACGGGGAGCGCACCCTCCTCCACCGCGGGTTGGGGGTCTGCGTGTCTAACTGTGTGTCTGTTTGTGTGTCGGTCTATCTACGTGTGCGTGGCTGTCTGTATTTCGACGTGTGTCTGTATCTATATAACTATTCGATTATCCGAGCACGTTTGTGGACGTGTGTGTGTCTGTCTGCCTGTCTGTACGTGTGAATCTGTGTGTATCTAGCCGTATGCCTGTGTACATGCGTCTCGATGTTTGTGTGTGTCCTTGTCTTTTTGCGTGTATATCTGTGTGTATATATGTGCTTGGATGTGTGTCTCTATCTTTGTGTATCCGTCTGTGTAAGTATGCTGTTTGTGTGTGCCTGAAAATCTACATATACATCTCTGTGTACGTATGTGCATGTATGTATATGGGTTGGTCTGTGCACCTAGCCTGGCACAAGCGCCGTTGTGACGTCACCACCATTTAGCGGCGAATTTCGATGTCTGTTGTTAGTCTGTGTGTGTATTTATGGGCGTGCATACGCGTGTCGACGTTTGTGTCTGTACGCGTGCATCTGCGTGTGTGTTTGAGTCTGTGAGCGTCTACCTGTGTGTGTCCGTGAGTGACTGACGGTCTAACACAGACAGAACACATGCGCACACAACCAGCGCTCGCACATGGACAGACAGACACGGACAGGACACGGCACAAGAGCGATCACACAGACAGACATGACCGAGAGGACTCGCACAGACAGACAGACATACACACGCAGTCATGCGCACAAGCACTGAGAGATAGCACACAGACACAGTTACACACAGACGCACAGAGTTATACTGATAGAGAAACACGGACACGTGTAGACACACACAGGCACACACATGTTCACACGGACACATGTAGACACACACAGGCACACACATGTTCACACGGACACATGTAGACACACACAGGCACACACATGTCCACGCGCAGTCTCGCGCTCCCTGCCCGTCTCCGGCGCTCCGCACGCAGAGTCCCCTCCCGCCTCTCCCCGCCGCGGACGGGAGAGGGGAGCCCAGTGGGGGTCCTCGCGGCCGCCGGGGAGTCCCCTGGTCCCCTCGTCCCCCCGTCCCCTCGCCCGGCTCAGCTCCGGCACCCCGAGTCCTCCCCGCGCGTCACCGCGAGCCGACGAGAAATGCAAATGAGGTCCCCTTGGTCTTCATGCGCCTGCTCTTGTTCACTTCGCCACGGGGCCTCCTTGAGCTGACGCGTGCGTGTGCACACACGCGTGTACAGCAGCACATGCAAGCACACGCATGCGTGTGCACGCACGCGCTCGCGTCTGCCGCTCGCTCGCCGAGCCGACAGGATTCGTGGTTGGCGGTGGTTGTGGCGAGCGGGTTTTTAAATCTCCACTTCGCCGGGGAGGGAGGGAGCTGCTGATTTCCACACGACCACCACAACCACGACTACCGCTACCAACTCCCACCACCCACAAACAACCACCGCCTCTTTCTCCTCCCACCTCCCTCCCTCCTCCCTCCCTCCTCCATCCTCGGGACGTTCTCGAGCCCAAGCCGCCCCCCTCACGTTGGCCACGCGAGGAGATAAATAATGAAATGAAGCGCCACTTCCCCTCGCCTATTTCTGAGCGCTGACGGAGACACGTGGCCTCTGCGGGGGATAGGGCGCCGGGAGGGTGGGTGGCAATCATATATGGACACACACACGCGTACACGTGTGCGTGTGTGTGTTGTGTACACGTGTGACTATATGTATGCGCACATGTACGCGTACGAGTAATTCAGATATTTGTGCGTCAAGAGTTACTCCACTGCTGGATGAGGGCCTCCCCACGCCGTCCAGGTCAAGGGAGTTATTTGGCCATACTGCCCCACTCTCGTCAGAGCGCGTTGGTGAACCCTGGTAGCATGGACCGCGGATGGGGGGGGGACAGTACAGTACAACTATTTATTTAACTGCACTGCCCTCTGCTGCCCAATACGTAACCCCCACAGGGCCCTGAGGCAGCCTTGGCCGCCCATCACGGGAGTATCCAGGCCCAACCTGCTTCGCTTGTGCTTAGATCTCTCCAGATTGGGCGCGTCGGCAAAGCACATTAACTTCATCGTAGGCACTAAAGAGTACACAACTACACATTATACACACCGTATTATATACACACACAGACACGTCTACATAGACACATACACATATCTTCTGTCACAAACTCCTGGGGAAAGTGCTGTTTGCGAGCACACAAGAGGGTGGGTGGCCAACACCATGCCCGACCGCCTTTGTCTCCCCATACGCACATATATTTATAACGAATACGTACGCGATAATATGCAACTATGCAAACACACGTATACTGTTATAGATACACAAACATATCTGCACGTATGCACACATTGAATTATACAACAGCCGACATTCGCCACGAAGTGGCGGTGATGTCACAACGGCGCTTGCGCCAGGCTAAGTGCACGTACACACAGATGTGTACACACATTGCACGCAAATAAACCAACATACACGTACAACGTATACCTGTACACGTATGATCTAGAATGCACGCGTGTATATAAAATATTTGTTGAACGACAACCAGTAACCGTCTGTATTATCGATGTTTGTGTTTGTTCCAAAAGTCAGGAGCCGATCACCAAGTCCTGTGGAAGGCTATAAACGAACGGCATGGCGCGTGCGACTCTGATTGGCCGACGGCAGCGCAAGGGACAGCGACCTCCACGTGGGCCGGGTGAGTCCCCACATGGCGATCGAGCCGCGGCCCTGCAGCTGCTTGCTCACGCCACTGCTGGTGGAAAGGCCTCTCCACTCGAGGAAGCTCGAGAGAGTATTTGGTCTACTCTTCCACGTTAACACCACTAAACGCACCACCGCAATTACACACGAACAACATTTAGGCCGATCGGCGATCTGCGAAGCGCCACTGACACCGCTGGGGGACAGCGACACGGCGGGTGAAGGATCGCGGCCGTTGTCCCAAGTGCCGCGCGGGACCCTGACGCCGAGCCGCGTCTCCCTCGGGATCGCACTCCCAGCGCGCTGCTCGCCGTTGTTGCACCGCCGTGGCCGCCCCTCCATGTCTCGCCGTGACACGCGAACGCGTCCTGCGTATTGCGCGAGACCACGGGCCGGCAACCTGCTGCTCCGGAGCCGGACGCCGCGGCTCTTTCAGGACCGCTTCGCGACGTTCTTTATCCAGGAGCCACCAGCTCGTGCCCACCGCAGTGCGCCGCGGCTCTTGAATGATTGCGGGGTTTTATTCTTACCGAACTCGAAAAAATTGCATCTTCGGGTTGTGTTTGGTTTCCTACACCTGCTGTAGACTTTCTAATTGTACGGTAAACCGGCAACCGGATTTCACCGATTATTTCATTCGGTTACCGGTAATGCAATAAACCGATTTTAATCGTCGTACCGTATAAACACGCATGTATGCATACACATAGTAATAACACAGATGTGTACACACGTTCCACGCACATATACCCAATACAAATACAGTATATACCGGTATACATACACAGACGCACTTGTAGGTACACATTAATAAATCCCCCGTATAGCCTTTAACAGACTGATGGGGCAAGTGCTGTTAGCGAGCATCATCAATGAAGGCCGACACGTGACATGAGCGGGTGGGTGGCAGCACCACGCCTGGCCGTCTTTGTCTCCCCAGTGGTGCTCACGTTGACTCCCCGCAGCAGGTAGTCTTCTCAGGCGAGCTCATACAATCGTCACTGATCTGTACCCTTCGTGGAAATCGAACTCAGGTTGTTGTGATACATACACGTGTCTGTATGTTCCACATATTCACATACAGACATTTACATACATCTATTAACGTGTCTGTATGCTCCACATATTCACATACAGACATTTACATACATCTATTAACGTGTCTGTATGTTCCACATATTCACATACAGACATTTACATACATCTATTAACGTGTATGAACACGCACAGACGTACGCTCTAAATAGACGCACACACGTGTGTACATGCATATATAGTACAGTACACGTAAACACACACACGTGTACGTACATGTGCTGACACACCCTGCATACGTACAGCAGGATATGTATACACACGAGGGGTTGCACTGGCAAGTGCTGCGTGTTGATGTCACGGCCTCGTCTCCTCCTGGCTCTCTTCCTGTGCCCGTCCAGGGCGCGCACCGCGGGCACCAAGACGGCCGCTCCCTGCCGACTGCTGCCCCACGCAGCCGAGAATGCGCCCCGGGCGATGCGCGCGGAGGGCGGCCTCGAGACGCAGACGCAGGGAGGGGGACCCCCAGCAACCTCTCAGCTGGTGACTTTACACCAAGAGTAACAGCGACGACAACAACCTGTGGTGACGAGTAACAGCGACAACGACAACCTGTGGTGACGAGTAACAGCGACAACGACAGCCTGTGGTGACGTGAACAGAGTCGAGAGAGGCTCTCAGCTGGTGACTTTACACCAAGAGTAACAACGACAACGACAACCTGTGGTGACGAGTAACAGCGACAACGACAGCCTGTGGTGACGAGAACAGAGTCGAGAGAGGCTCTCAGCTGGTGACTTTACACCAAGAGTAACAGCGACAACGACAGCCTGTGGTGACGAGAACAGAGTCGAGAGAGGCTCTCAGCTGGTGACTTTACACCAAGAGTAACAGCGACAACGACAGCCTGTGGTGACGTGAACAGAGTCGAGAGAGGCTCTCAGCTGGTGACTTTACACCAAGAGTAACAGCGACAACGACAACCTGTGGTGACGAGTAACAGCGACAACGACAACCTGTGGTGACGAGTAACAACGACAACGACAACCTGTGGTGACGAGTAACAGCGACAACGACAACCTGTGGTGACGAGTAACAGCGACAACGACAACCTGTGGTGACGAGTAACAGCGACAACGACAACCTGTGGTGACGAGTAACAGCGACAACGACAACCTGTGGTGACGAGTAACAGCGACAACGACAACCTGTGGTGACGAGTAACAACGACAACAACAACCTGTGGTGACGAGTAACAGCGACAACAACAACCTGTGGCGACGTGAACAGAGTCGAGAGAGGCTCTCAGCTGGTGACTTTACACCACGAGTAACAACGACGACGACAACCTGTGGCGACGAGTAACAGCGACGACAACAACAACGACAACTTGTGATCCCAGCAAACTGGGACTTCACTCTCCCACCTGCACGTTGAGTCGCACCCTACTCCACGGAACGCACAGAATCAGAGTGACACACACACACTTCACAGGGACTGAAGTGTTATTGTATTTGTATCTACACGTACTATACACGCACACATGTATACACGTGTATACATAGTTGGACATAATATACATGCATATAGACTCACAAATAAACAGAAACATAGACATAAATCAACTTTAGACACCGAATTACATAACCAAAGAAAAATATCCCCCATATAGCCTTTTCAAGGTGTTGGAGCAAGTCCTGTTCGTGGGAACCTATACAGGCCACACGGACGGGAGGTCTGTACGTATGTATATTGACTGGCCTTTTGCCCGTCCAAGGACGGGTTGTATTGCAGTGAATCTGAAACTTTCAAGCGAAAAGCAGACCCGACGTGATAGCCATTGCATCAATTCGTGTGCAATGTGTAAGGGCGCCGTGACACAGACCTATTGCATTTAAAGGTTATAATCCCTTGTTCATCATGACGTCCTTTTTACTTTGATGTCTCAACAACAGCGTGACGGAGATCACGTAACGTGAGGGTTCTGCCTTTGTAGTGAGGGTTGTGAGTTGACGCCGAGGAGGGGGGTGGAGGCGCCTCGCTCCTCATGTGGAGTGACGTCCGCCGCTAATTGTTATTAATGGCGGGGGCTATTTGGAGGACGTCACCTTATAATTATTATTCATGAGGGGGGTTGTTCTATGTGGCGTGACGTCGCCTGCTCATGATTATTAATGAGGGGGGCTGTTCAATGTGGAGGACGTCACCTGCTCATGGATATTAATGAGGGGGGCTGGTCGCTGTGGAATGAGGTCACGAGCGTTAAGGACAGACAGTCCTGGGTGATTCTAGTGGGTATGAAGGCACGCGTATATAGTGTAACAACACATCCATAGCCTGCGTCATCATCATTATCATCATCAGCCATGATCAATTAACTGCTGGATGAAGGCCTCCCCATGCCGCCGCCACCTCTCGCGATCCCGCGATGCGATAGCCCATTGATCCGCTGCTCATTAACGCGGCTCATCGCTCCATCTCCGCGCTAGATGCCCTTTCAGAAGCATCCCATTCCTCGGCTGCCGCTCCGTTATCACCAACCACACATCCCACGTCCCTTCTGATCACGACGAGTGCTGTCCGAGCCCACTTCTACTCACGGCTTGAACGATGTCATTCACCTGCGTCTTGTGTTAGCTCACCCTGTGCTCCGCGTCCTCTCTCGCGGTGTCATTCCAAG